GGGGGCAGGAGTGTATGGAGGGATGGACACTGGGAAGAGGTAACTATGGGGAGGAAGTGGGAGGGGAGCTGTTGCATTGTGGTAAACTGTGGTCAATGGCATGAGACAAAGTATATGTGAACTGCTGTATGGAAAGTGAATTTGCTCTGTAAATCTTCACCGAAATCACTATTAAAAAAAAAAAAAAGATTTCATCCTACTCGTTTTAGGAGGTTAAGGGCCTGGTAGGCCTCCAAGTTTGATTAAATGACCCAATAAAAAAGGGTGTGGTCTGCCCTACTAGCCTGCAGCCCATTCAATAGATACTGACCAAGGGAGCACCTACATGCCAGGCACTGGGGTCAGCAGTGGGAACCCAGCAGATATAGGACAGACAAGGCTCCTCCCAAAGGAGCTTACAGTATAAGGATGTGGCAGACAAGACTCATTTCGTTAATGTCAAAGAATTTTAAACGCTGTTAAGGCGTGAAAGTTACCTGGGGCCCCGCTTGCCTTTCAGGGCCCCACTCAGAGACTGTTTCTTTACTTTCACTCCGTTTCCCCACAGGCCGGTACCACTTGGGTCTCTTGTTGTTGTTATGTGCTGTGGAGTGGGACTCGACTCATAGGGACCCCTCCTTGGGTTTCCGAGCAGTATCACTACCGAAGTAGGTTGCCCATCTTCCTTCCGAAGAGTGGCTGGTGGGTTTCAACCGCCAGCCTCCTGATTAGCAGTCAAGTACCTTTGGCACTACCCTATCAGAGCTCCTCCTTAGGCACTAGTCTCTAGGTAATGCGACAAGCTCCTTCTCGCGCGCTCTCACAGTGCCAAGCCTGCGCATCCGCACACTCCCAATCCCGGCGTGCCCCGCGCCGCTCCGCCGACTGGACGCCGTCTTTCCTACAGGCTCCGGAACCTTACTGCATGCCGGGAGTTGTGGTCTCGGGAGGCAGAGAGGCGGCCGGCTGGAGCGCGTGGCAGGAAGCGGAAGCGGCCTAAAGGCTGGCCCCGGCCCCGGCCCCGGCCCCGCCCCGCGCAGCCTGCTGCTGGGGCTACACTGACGTGTCTCTCGGCCGAAGACCTGCGCTCCGGAGCGGGCTGGGCTGCGGGCAGCGTCGCCTCACTCAGAGCGCAGCAGAGCTGAAGCAGGATCTGGAACCAGAGCAACCGACGCCATGGCGAGTGAGTCCCTCGCGGGCAGTCCGGGCGCCGCCGGGACAGATCAGATCCCTTGCCCCTCACCAGGAACCCACCGGTCCGACCTGCCTGGGTCCCCGCAGACCTGGGCTCGCGTCCCTCGGCCCTCTTCAAGGGCCCCCGCGCGCCCCTATGCCCGTATTGGTCGCTGCCCCATATTCTAATTCATCGGGGGCCCAAGCCTTCGCGGGTATCGAGGAAGGTTTCTCTTTTCCCTAACTCCTCTTGTTTCTCCCCTCCAAGTCAAATTTCTAGAAGTCATCAAACCCTTCTGTGTCATCCTGCCGGAAATTCAGAAGCCGGAAAGAAAGGTAAGTGCCCCAAATCGCGCTCAAAGACGCCTTCGTGAAAGTGTCTAGGCGTTTGAAGTTTACAGTACAATTAAAAATGGCTTCAACGCGCCAGATGGCGCTCTACCTTTTCTTCCGCCTGGAGTATAGTTGTGTGTACTGTGATGCTTCTGAGTTTATTGAAGAAAGGTGACCTGGCTGTGTGGGGATTTCCACTGAAACTGTCATGCATTAGTAGATATATCTTTTGTAGATAATTGCTTTAGTAAACAAAGCCTCGGGTTTGCCGTGTCTCAATGAATTCTAGCCTCAGAGTCCTCAGTCAGGAGACCCAGATTGAGTTACCCTTTTTTTTGGCCCCTAAAGGGTCAGACCATGGTTGAGTTTCCCGAGGAGATGCTCACTGTATCTAGCTTCTAAAAGGAATTAAGGACAGTGGCTTTATTCTGTATAAATGAGCATGTGCTTTTTATGTAGGCTGTTGCATTACCGAGAATAAAGGCATTTCAATGAAGTCTGCTACTTTCTGTAGGCACATTAAAACAGGGAAAGATGGAAATGTAGAACTATATGTAGCAATAGAAATTCTGATGATGTTTCAGTGGCTAAGGCCTGAGATAGTGAGTGTTGCCAATATTAAATAAAGTTCTTAAACAATGGAAAAAAGTTTCATTAGGTTCTTAAGTTAAAGACAAAATAGTAAAATACATTCTTCTCTTTTTTATTTTTTCAGTCTATTAATGGAGTTACATATGTTTATGTATAATTGGTATCAACCTGGACACTTGGATTCTTGGAATCTACCTTTTTTGGCTCCCCCCCAAAAGTCATTTTACGTAAATGCTTCACTTGTGTGCTGCCTTCAGTGGGCTAATTTCACTAGTGAGTTGCAAAGTTCACTGCTTCTCTCTCAAGCATAATGGAAAGGGTATGGGCCCTGGAGCCAGGCAAGCCTGGGTTTCTCTCTTCACACAGCCTCTTTAATAGCTGTGTGACCTTGACCTTGAACTAAGTATGGTAGATGCAGTGGCTGAAATACTTGCAGTGGCTTAGGAAGAGATTAACTCTGGAAGACGTAATGTCTGATGGTTTTGAAGCAGGAATAGATGTTTTCTTGAAAGAAATTCCAGGCAAAGGGAATATATAGTATAGTATGTAAAGGCAAAGAAGACAAGACTGTGTAGTGTGTTGGAGGAGGTTGTTACATGTGGTTGATATTAGTAGAACATAAAGGGTATGTGGGGAGCAATAAATGAGTGAAAAGGGCCTTGCAAATTAGAAAATCACTTTGGCAGTAAGGTAGAAGACCAAGAGTATGGTTTAGAGGCTACTCAAACAGGTAAAAACTAGGTGGTGGAGTAGGAGTCGAGGATGGATTGGAGTGATTTAAGATGTAGAGTAGACAGGACTTGGATAAAGGTCTTTTAAAGTTTCAGTGTTGAATTTGTCTTATACAAGAGCAGAGACTGTTGTTGTTTGCCGTCGAGTCGGCCCCAGCTCATAGCAACCCCTCCTTGGGTTTCCAAGGCAGTATCACTACGGAAGTAGGATTGCCCAACCTTCCTTCTGAGGAGTGACTGGTGGGTTTGAACCGCCAGCCTTCTGGTGAACAGTCAAGTGCCTTAGGCACTATGCTACCAGAGCTCCTACTAGGTAATTAAAAATGAGGAATCATGTAAAACTTGTCCATTCCTTTTTCCTATAAAGAATCATTTCAGTAAAATCTTGTTACATTACTATTTAGTTTGAAATGACATTGCCTTCCCTTGAACTACTTCTAATTTCTTGTGTGGTAGAGTGACAGGTGGGAAGGAAAACAGTTTGAAGAGGAAAAAGAGTTCTGTGACTGAACACCGCATTTGGAGCATTGCAGCGTCTACATACTTGGGATCACCATGAGTCAGAATTGACTCAATGGCAGCTAACAGTAGCCTCTCTAAAATTTTGTTTGCACATTATAGATATGATACTGATGTGTGGTTTGAGGGTTAAATGAAGTAATGTTTGTGAAGACCTCATACACAGAAACCATGTAGTACATGGTACTTATATTTGGTTCAAAGGGTTCAAGGCTTCCCTGAACAGAGAAGGGTCTGATATGAGTCCATTTTTACTGATTCGCTTATAAAAATAACTTGTTTAACTTCATTCTCTTCTGTAGATTCAGTTTAAGGAGAAGGTGCTGTGGACTGCTATCACCCTCTTTATCTTCTTAGTATGCTGCCAGGTAAACATAGGTTTAATATTCCACTGTTGGGGTAGGCGATAAGGATGGGCTGCACCAAGTGTGTTGACTCCTTTTCTCCTTGCTTGTTTCCAGATCCCCCTGTTTGGTATCATGTCTTCAGATTCAGCTGATCCTTTCTATTGGATGAGAGTGATTCTAGCCTCTAACAGAGGTAGGACTCTGCCTCTCTGTGCCTTTTCTCTGTACATAGTGAGCTTGACTGGCCTAATTTAATTAAATTACAGACTTTGACTTCATTTGGAGTTCAGAGAGTATGAAGTATGTGGCCTGGAAGATAGAGTGAAGAACATTGATGTGCTGTGCTGAAGAGCCTTATTCAATACTGCATTCAAGACCAAGGCATATTGAAAAAAATAAAAAAGACCAAGGCATGCCGTCGTATTTGGAATTGTGTTTGAATTCAGTTTAAAACCTGGAAAAACAAGATAAGTCTGTGTCATAAAGAATAGAAGCACAAAAAAACTAGAATGCGTTTTAAGCACAGAAGATGACATTTTTACCTATCTTGTGCTTTGATAACACATTCTTTAGAATATGTAATTCATTTCCCAGCTGCATCTTTTTCATACCTATAGGTTATGTGTATGTGTCAAAAATACAGTGTAACGCTATTTTATATACTATAACCAATTTCTATTGGGCATTTTAAATGTGTACTAGTGTTGATAATTGTGTTTGATTAGCTCATTTTTAAAATATAGTTCAAATTAAGTTCCAAATCAGTTGGAAGTATAGCTCATTTTAGTATAATAGAAGTAGAGTTTTATTCATGGTTAGATAGAATTGTGCAGCCCCCTCTTCCGGACTATGGGAATTATTTTAATGTTACCCTTTTTATTAGTTGATGAAGAGGTGAACCTTTCTTATCTCTATAAAACCAGAATGGATCTGTTATGGTGAGTGTAATTGCAGCGATCTGTTGAGACACCACATGACTTCCTCAATAGAATGAGACATTGCCTCACAGGCTGACCAGAATGAATTGAATTATACATTAATCATTGATGTTTTGGGATTCTCTGAATTAAATGTTGCTGCCAAAGTGAAACACAGAGGATTGTGTAAAGGAGACCAAATCTTCCGTATTCATTTTCTTAATAATGTTCTGCTTCTCTAAGTTAGTATTTCCTGTGTTTTGTCTTTCCCTTACCTCAAGGCACATTGATGGAGCTGGGTATCTCTCCTATTGTCACCTCTGGTCTTATTATGCAGCTCTTGGCTGGAGCAAAAATAATCGAAGTTGGTGACACCCCAAAAGACCGAGCTCTCTTCAACGGAGCCCAGAAGTGTAAGTGACAGTGTGAATAATGTTCATACATCTCTAGGAATTAGTTAGAAATCTAGTTAGAAAGTTGAATTTGTTACAAAGTTTGGGGAGTTTTTCTTTGTATGATGTAACCTTCTTGGCTCACTACCTGCAGGTGCTCCTTGGCCTGTGTTATTCGGTAGAGCACTTGGGATGGGCTGGATGCAGCAAGGGTAGGGAGAGTATGGAGAGTGCCCCAGAGGCTGACATGATAGAGTGGAAGAAAGAGTTGGTGGTCCAGTCCCACACACTTCATGTAACTTTGGACAAATCTGTGTGCTTCTTGGAGCCTCAGTTTCCTCACCACTTAGAAAGACAAAATGTCTACTTCAGAGTTGTTGTGAAGATTAGATTAAATAACGTATGCAAAACATCTGTCACGGTGCCTGGCATGTAGAAGTTACTTGGCGAGCTTTTTTTTTTCTGAACGTTTAGAAAGATTTAAATTAGGGGGAAAGGAGATCCTCTCATTGCGTCTCTGCTATCTTCTTTGGAAACATTAGATGCTATCTCTTAGTTTCTGCATCTGTAAAAGGGATAATAATGGTATTTGTCTCATGGCAGATAGTGTTACTAGCAACAATGACCAGTCAGCAGAATTAACCTTGTTCACTCTGTAACCATTGACTGAAATATATGAATAGAAAATGATATTTACTATTCCCTGTGCAGATATATTTTTTTTCCACGCCAGTGTGTTTTACAGATCTTCTTAAGTTAGTAGGTTAAATTGAGTGAGAAAGACAGATCTAACTTAAACTTATCAGTTTCAGGTACAAAGCAGGATTTGTTTGTTCTTGCATTGTTTTTCAAAAGCATAAAGCAGCTGTTTTCCCTTTCGTCTTGACAATTTTTTGAACATTTTCCTGCCTTAAGCATTCAGTGTTACTGAGCACTTTTTAAAAAGTCAAATAGGAACTATATTTGATAGATACTTTGTAGTAAATTTTTATTTTATACAACAGAATAAGCAGAGAAGCTGAAAATTGAAGACGCAAACCCATACTTAGAGCTCCATGTACTATTGTAGAAGCATTAAATGTGTGGCAATTCTATTGTGCCTAACAATGATGTATAATAAGATACAGGAGAGGAGGAGATTCTAATTTAATCTCAAAAGCTCTGAAGTAGACATTATTTCCTTCTAAATGGTGAGGAAATTGAAGCTCCAAGAAGTAAGAGGATATTCTACAGAAAAGCTTCTATTCCAAAATAACTTGGTGGAAGAGGAAATGTGAATACTGCCTAAATTGATAGTATTGTGGGGTTTTTCCTCTTAAAAACACATTAAATAGAAATGTAAGACGGGATCTCTGCTCTACCTTTAATGGGTTTGTGTTCTAGACTTAGCTAGATGGTGAGTTACAGAGGTGGCCAGGTGTGTTACAGCGTATAAGTTACCAACTGGCCTAACATTGAATTTGCGTCTTGGAGGTTTGGGACACTGCCAAATTGTGTGCCTCTAGATGTTTTCTTTAGTAATTTTTCTCCTTGATTTGCTTTTATACAAACTAGACAAGCCACGTTTAAAGTCTTTCACTTCTCCTTTACTGAAAGGAAACTTAATTTAGGAAAAAGCAAAACTAAAGAGTAAGCATGCTTTTATTAAAAGCTCATTGCATTATTGTGTACTTTGATGCTGTGGCTGATTAGCCTAGACCAGGCTCCTTGTAGGCAGTGTCAGTATTTTTCATCTTTCTTCACCCCAGTGCCTGGCACCCATTCATTGTTGTCAGTAACTGTTTGCTTTACTACCATGTAATATCCCACTTGGAGAACACAGTTTTCTTTTCATTTCTAGTATTTGGCATGATCATTACTATTGGCCAGTCTATTGTGTATGTGATGACTGGAATGTATGGGGACCCTTCTGAAATGGGTGCCGGAATCTGCTTGTTAATCACCATTCAGGTAAGTGCTGTGAAAGCATCCCCCCGGCTGACTAACCCCACATGCTTACATAACTCAAATAACAAGTCTGAACCACACATTTATAAGGAACTCTACCTGAGAAGAAACCGAAGGCCCTATGTTTTTTGCCCTTTGAACTCACAGAAGGGCACTGCACTCACCAATACCTGTGCGCTGGGATGAGCTTTGACCCAGCCTTCAGGGTTTCTAACAGAAAAGCCCAGTAGTTGAAGAAGGGAAGGACCAGGTCTGTGGTAAGCAATAATAATGCAGTCTGTTTGGGTTTCTTTACTTTTATCTTTTAATTTTTACAGCTTTTTGTTGCTGGATTAATTGTCCTCCTCCTGGATGAACTCTTGCAAAAAGGATATGGCCTGGGCTCTGGTATTTCTCTCTTTATTGCAACTAACATCTGTGAGACCATTGTGTGGAAAGCATTCAGCCCCACCACTGTCAACACTGGACGAGGTAAGGGCCTTGGGCTTTCCTAGTCAAAAAATTCCATAAAAAATATTGACATGATGCAAAGCAAAATAGAAAAGGTCCCCTGTTCCATTGAAAAACTACTTCAGTGTTAGGTACATCTGCAAACTTCTAAAAAACACAGACATATACTTATAATGATACATAACTTAACGTTTTTCACATAAGAGTATTCCATGAAATTGAACGCACACCTGTGTTTTCCAGCCAAACAAAGTACAGGCATGTGAGTTAAACATTTACCTCAAGTAGACACACACCCTGGAGAGAACAGTCATGGAAGAAGGAAGGGCTGCTTATGCACAGGGAAACAGCTCAGGGCGCAGAAGAGTATGGGGGGATGGACACTGGGAAGAGGTAACTATGGGGAGGAAATGGGAGGGGAGCTGTTGCATTACAAATTTTGGTCAATGACATGAGACAAAGTATATGTGAACAAAGTATATGTGATACAGCATTATGAAAAGGGAATTTACTCTGTAAATCTTCACCCAAATCAAAATAAAATTAAAAAAAAAAAAAGAGTATTCCATGAACATTAGTCATGCCAGAACACATAATCCTGCTTCATTCTTCTAGCACAGCATGGACTTCCATTGCAAAGATGAAGCAACATTATTCTACTCTTCTTCTGATAAGACATTTAAGTCATCTCTCTCTCTTTTTTTTTTTCCCCTTATTTTGCTATTACAAACATTATACAATGACCACCCTTGTACATTCATGTTTTCATATTTTTGTAGTTGTGCTTTCAATGAGTAAATGTCTGAAAATGAGATTGCTGAAGCAAAGCATTTTGTCACACAAAAGGAAAGAGACCTGGGCTTGAGGAGTTCAACACCTGGGTTCCAATCCTGTTTATTCCTGTTAGTAGTACATACATAACTTAGGGCACATTCCTTCCCTCATTGAGAGGATTATAAGTGCTTTGGAAATCTTGTTACAGAAGACGTTTTTTAACATCTAAACATTCAGGGAGAGCCTTAGAATAAAACTTCCTTGGAAAGGGAAAATCAGCTTTTTTCATCATTAAAAATATTATTCACCCAGAAGAGTTCCGTGAGAAATAGCTATAGGGCACATTTGAGCACTTTATTTGAATTGAGTGCTGGAAATGAGTTACTTGCTTCCAGAGACCATATAATGTCATTAGTGATGCTGAAAACAGGACTCTTGACAAATGAAGGGACCTCTGGTAGCATAGTGGCTAAGGCACTTGACTGCTAACCAGAAGGCTGGTGGTTCAGATCCACCAGCCACTCCTCAGAAGGAAGGTTGGGCAGTCTACTTCCGTAGTGATACTGCCTCGGAAACCCAAGGAGGGGTCGCTATGAGTCGGGTCTTACTCGACGGCACATAACAACAACAACAGACAAATGAAGACTGCACATACAAAAGGAAGAGTGTAACTTGAAGTAGGAAATGTCAGGAGAGTCTTAGAAAAGAGTGACCAAGATCAGATGTGGTTTTTTCTTGGGCACCTTCTAGGGTTTTAGAAAACTTAAGGCAAATTGGGAGAAACTGGGAAACAGAAGGCAGAGTTATTCAGTGATGGTTGTGGAAAGGGGAGCTCTGGTAGCGTAGTGCCTAAGGCATTTGACTGCTAACCAGAAGGTTGGTGGTTCAATCCCACCAGCCACTGCTCGGAAGGAAGGTTGGGCAGTCTACTTCCGTACACTACGGACTTGGAAACCCAAGGAGGGGTTGTGATGAGTCAGATCCAACTCGAAGGCAGGTTTGTGTGTGTGTGTGTGTGTGTGTGTAAAGGCAGGAGGATGAGGGATTAGTGGCAGTACAGGTGTGTGGCAAGACCATCATGTCACCTGGTCTAGGGGAATGTGCTGAGTTATAAAGGAGTGTAGTTATAAAAGCATAGAGGTGAAGGTGGGGCAATTTGTAGAGGTGTGGAAGCCTGGCAGAAACTGGCAAAGGAAGGCACAGTCCATCCTGAAGCAGGACAGTGAGATGGTGGAAACCGGGGTTTGACAGGGATGATATCCCTTGAAATGGAAAGACAGGGAGAAAAAGCAGCTGGATATTATTGCAGTAATCCAGGTTTAACAAGACTGCTAAAGCATCGAGTGAGGGTATTAGAGAAAAAGTATCAAGAGATTGTACAGAGGAACTTTCAAGGGTAATGAAAACCCAGACACAAAGGCAGGTTTGTTTCTTAGGTTAAATTGAAAGTAGGGCTTGGAACTGGCTTGTTCTGGTTGAAACCCCTGCTGAGAATTTGCCTTTCCACCCTAGATACACATTTTAATGAGAATAGTCAGTTTAACAAGATCCCCAGGTGATTCTTAGTCCATTCTCAGCAGGGGATCAAGCCAGAATGAGCCAGTTGGAAGCCCTGATTTAAAGTATCACAGTTAACAGAATGTGTTCTGGACCAGCTGGAGAAAAGGTGCAGGTAGGGAGGGGCATCACAGCCTAGCTAAACTCTGAGGAAGCACTCAACTTCTGAGGAGTGAGGGAAATGGAGAGGTAAAGTCAAGAAGTTTAAGCCTTGGAGAAAGGTGGGCAAAATACTGCAGAGGTCACAGATGTTCCAGGCCAACTGCTACAGCTTAAGAGCGGGAACATAGGAAATAAATTGTTGAGTGAGACCTCCCTCTCCCTGAATTGAAAAAATGAAAATTACCGTTTCCCTGGGCAAGTGGAAAGTGCCCAAACGGAATTAGCAGAGTCATTGCCGGGGGGGGGGGTGCGGTGAACAGCTTTTGCAGTCGAGGAAATGTTTATACATGGAAGGAAACTTTCTTTGTTGGTAACCAGGGATGGGAGGAGAGGGGATGCTAACTAAATTCCTAGATAGGTTGGGGCAGGGCACATAGAGAGCAAAGATTATTTAGTGGTTACCAGGGTAAGAGGGAGGGGGAAAGGGGAAGCTTTTGTTTGCAGGCCATTGGGTTTATGCTGATGGTGGTAGAATATTTTGGAAAAGGATAGCAATAATGTGGCACACCATGAAAAATGTCATCAACGTCCCTGAGCTGTAAGTGGGGAGGTTGGCAAATTGTTGTGTATGTTTTCACCACAATAAAGATTTGTTTTTTATAAAAAGCAGCTTTTGCCCCTGAAGTAACACTAACATTTAGAAACTTTGTCTTGCTCACAGAGATTCAGCAGGTAGTGAATTTCAAGAAATAATTATGCCAGTAGTTAGGAAAATTAGGGCCTAATTCTGGCATTGCTGTTAATACCCTTTCATTCCACAAGTATTTATCAAGTCCCTGTTATGGGCCAGGTACTATTCTAGGAATTGGGAATACAGAGTAATTAGAACATGTGTTATCAGTATGTCAGATGTTACCCTAAACAAAAATAAAGCAGAGAAAGGCTCTGGGGATCCTAGGGGAGGGTTGATACAATTTTAGTCTGGCTAATCAAAGACAGGGAGCTCTGATAATGTAGTGCCTAAGGCACTTGACTGTTAACCAGAAAGCTGGCAGTTCAAACCCACCAGCCACTCCTCGGAAGGAAAGTTAGGCAATCTACTTCCATAGTGATACTGCCTTGGAAACCCAAGGTGGGGTCGCTATGAGTTGGGTCTGACTCGATGGCACATAACAACAATAATCAAAGACGGGCTTCACTGACACTTGTACAAAGTCCTGAAAGAGGTGAGGAGGCCATGTGACTATCTGGGGGAAGGATGTTCTGTTTGGAGGGAACAGTAAGGTAAAAAAGCCCTGAGGTGGGGATGTGTACCTAGTGTCTTCATGAATCATCATATGCAGTTGGTGTAAGACAAACAAGGAAAGAATAGTTGGAGGTGGGATCAGGATGTTGGGAGTGTGCAGAGCATGTAGCCTAGTAGACCATGTAGCTTTGAAGAAGTTCCTTCTTTCTGCACCTGGGCCTGACCTAGGCTGCCTCCTTTGTAAAATAGAAAGTTTGTCCTGGCTACCTCTTTGTTGTTGTTGTTGTTGTTGTGTGCCATGGAGACGGACCCGACTCATAGCGACCCCTCCTTGGGTTTCCGAGGCAGTATCACTACAGAAGTAGATTGCCCAACCTTCCTTCCGAGGAGTGGCTGGTGGGTTTGAACCGCCAGCCTTCTGGTTAGCAGTCACATGCCTTAGGCACTCTTTAGTATCTATGAATTCTATGCATTAAGGAGACAGGCCGGTATTGTCACATGTGACCAAAAGGTTGGGAGATAGGAACTGATGAAAGTCCAACACAGGATGAATGAGGAAGCCAGTGGTGGTTAGGGCAGAGTGTTTCAAAGAAGCCAGCCACATCCTGGTGGCTTCAGAAGAGATGAGTGGTAGTGTCAATTAGGTGGTCTGTCTGAAATCTCATCTCTGAATGTCTGGGAAAAGCTGCAGGGAAAAGCAGCAGGGGGTTCTAGCTAACACAGGTGAGGAAGAAGGAAAATGATGTCACAGCAGGACCTTGGTGCACCTCACACAGTACCAATTCCCTACTCCCACCCACTGACCATACTTCTTGAAATCCTGTTAGCTTCCTGCCAGTAAAACAGTCTGAGCGGTAGGGAAGAATTACTAAACTTCCATTGTGGGATAGTTACCCTGTGTTGGAATAATATAGATTACATAGCAATGCAGTGCTCTTCATTTTTTTTAATTTTTTTTTTTTTTTTTTAAGATAAATTTCTTGTCAGTTTAAAAATCATCTAGTTCTTAATAATGCCTCATGTACCCTAGCTTTCCCTCACTTGTCACTGTTGTCATATCCCCAGATTGGAAGCCATTCTTCCTATTTTCTCTGGCATCATCTCAAGGTGGGCATGTGATAGCAGATTTGAATCTAGATCAGGTCCCATCACGGGCATGCAGGCTACCCTCCTTGATTGTACAATCATTGTAAGGACCTAAGCCCCACTGTGTCAGGGATATCCTGTGTACCTCAGAGCCTTTGACATAGATATTGTCTTACTGGGGACTTTCTAGGGAAGTGGATTTGTCTGCATGGAGCCCTCCTTCAATCAATGTAGGACCCCTTTCAGCCAGAGTTCAGCAAACCTTGCATTTCTGGTTTTGTAATTGGTGGTCATCATTCCGACATCACTTGGCCATCATCTTAGGTATGCCTAAGAAATGAGATTGATTGACCAAATTTAAAAAAAAGTAGCTTATACCATTTCTGAGTTTGAAATCTCTATAACAGAAATAAGAGTTAAGGGAGAAAAAAATCCATTGCTCCATCCCTGTGGTTATTATTAGAAGGAGGCACCATGAATCTCACGTTGTTGTTAGATACCGTCAGGCTGATTCCAACTGCTAGCGATTCTTTGTACAACAGAAGAAACGCTGCCCAGTCCTGAGCCATCTGCACAGTCATTGCTATATTTGAGCCAGTTGTTGCAGCCACTGTGTCGATCCATCTCATTGAGGGTCTTCTTCTTTTTCACTGATCCTTTACTTTACTAAGCATGATGTCTTTCTCTAGGGACTGCTCCCTCCTGGTAACATGTCCAAAGTACGTGAGACAAAGTTTTACTGTCCTTGGATTTTTTTTTTTTTATTGTGATGTGGTTGAAAGTTTAAAAGGGAAACTGGTTTTCCATTCGTCAGTCCACACACATTCTGTTTTGTGACATTTACTATAATCCTTGCACTGGAACAGTATTGGTCCCATGTCCTCCCTGTACCCACCCCTTCCTTTTGTTCTTCCTTCCCATCCCCTCCCACCTTCCTAGCTCTTTAAAAAAAAAAAAAAAAAAAAACTCTCTGATCTGATTCATAGCAGCCCCTGTTGGGTTTCTGAGGCAGTAAATCTTTACGGAAGTAGATTGCCTCATCTTCCTTCAGCAGATCAGCTGGTAGGTTTGAACCACCAACCTTCTGGTTAGCACTCAAATGCCTAAGGCGTTGCACCACCAGAACTCCTTTCTTCCTAGCTCTATCCATGGGCAAATGCTGTTCTCTTGATCTCATATGCTTGGTTGTTCTAATGAGTGCATACCCTCCCGATAATTACTGTGCACCTTATAGGCCTGTCTATTGTTTGCCTTAAAGTAGAGCCATGGATAAAGTTTAGTTCCTAGATGTCTAAAGGCTATCATCTTGGGGTTTCCATCAGTTTTCATCAGACCAATAAGCCTGGTCTTTTGTATGATTTTGAGTTTTGTTCTGCATTTTCTTCTACTCTCTCCAAGATTTGTTGTTGTGATCCCTTTCAGAGCAGCCAGCAGTAGTCAGTGGGCACCTTCTAGTTCTTCTGGTCTCAGGTTCAAGGAGGCTAGGTTTCAGATGCTCCATTAGTCCTTTGAACTAATCGCTTCCTGTGTTTTCTTCACTCTTCTTTGCTCTGGACAGGGAAAGACCAATAGTTGCACCTTAGGGTGTCATCCCCACTTCTAAGGAGCATTCCAACTGTACTTCCAAGAAAAATTGACTTGTTCTTCTATTGTATATAATACATTCAGTATTCTTTGCTAGTGATGGAGTGATTAAGGCACTTGACTGCAAACCAGAATGTTGGCAGTTTAAACCCACCAGGCACTTTGTGGAAGGAAGACAGGGCCGTCTTCCTACTTCTCCTTCTACTTCTGTAAAGATTTACCACCTCAGAAACTCAGTTGGGGTTGCTATGGGTCAGTATAGACTTGATGACAGTGGGTTTGGTATTCTTCACCAATACAATAATTCAAGGGCATCAGTTGCTCTTCGGTCTTCTTTATTCGGTGTCTAGCTTTCACGTGCATATGAGGCAATTGAAAATACCATAGCTTGGGTCAGGTATACCTTAGTCCTCAAGGTAACATCTTTGCTTTTTAATACTTTAAAGAGGTCTTTTGAGCAAATTTGCCCAGTGCAATACATCATTTGATTTCTTGGATTTGGGCACAAACCACAGGTGTTGATTGTGGATCCAAGTAAAATGAAATCCTTGACAACTTCAATCTTTTCTCCATTGATGATGATGATGCTTACTGGTCCATTTGTGAGGATTTTAGTTTTCTTTATGTTGAGGTAAGATCCATACTGAAGGGTGTAGTTTATGATCTTCATCAGTAAGTGCTTCAAGTCATCTTCACTTTCAGTAAGCAAGGTTATATCATCTGCATATTGTAGGTTGTTAATGAGTCTTCCTCCAGTGTTGATGCCATTTTCTTCAGATTCAGATTATTTGCTCAGCATACAAATTGACTAAGTATGGTGAAAGTATATAGCCCTAAGGCACACCTTTCTTGATTTTAAACCATGCAGTATTCTCTTGTTCATTAGGTCTATGTATAGGTTCACATGAAAATAATTAAGTGTTCTGGAATTCCCATTCTTCATAGTTTTATCCATAATTTGTTATGATCCACATAGTCAAATACCTTTGCATAGTCAATAAAACACAAGTAGATATCTTTCTGATACTCTCAGCTTTCAGCCAGGAGCCAACTGACATCAACAATGATATCCCTCGTTCCAGGTCCTCTTCTGAATCTGGCATGAAATTCTGGCAGCTTCCTTCTGATGTGCTGCTGGAACCATTTTTGAATTATCTCCATCAAAATCTTACTTGCATGTGTTATTAATGGTATTCTTTGATAATTTCCTTATTATGTCAGATCACCTTTCTTTGGAATGGACACAAGTATCTTTCTCTTCCAGTTGGTTGGCTAGGTGAGTATCTTCCAGATTTCTTGGCATAGACGAATGAGCACTTCCAGTGTTGCATCCATTCATTTCTTGAAACATCTCAATGGGTATTCCCTCTGAGCCTTGTTTTTCACCAGTATCTCTAGTGCAGCTTGGACTTCTTCCTTCAGTACCATCACTTCTTCATCATATGCTATGGAGTGTTCGAACGTTTGCCAATTCTTTTTGGTACATTGACTCTGTGTATTCCTTCTGTCTTCTTTTGATGCTTCCTGTGTCTTTCAGTATTTTGCCCATAGAATTCTTCAGTATTGCAACTCAAGGTTTGAATTTTTTCTCTCATTCTTTCACCTTGAGAATGACAAATGTTCTGTTCCCTTTTGGTTTTCTAAAGTCTTTGCACATTTCATTGTAATACTTTTCTTTGGCTTTTTGAGCCACCCTTTGAAATCTTCTGTTCAGCTTTTTACTTCATTTCTTTTGTTGGCTTTAAATACTCCGAGTTCAGAAGCAAGTTTCAGAGTCTCTTCTGAGATTTGTTTATTTATTTATTTATTCCCTTTTCTCTCTTTTTAATGACCATTTGCTTTCTTCATGTGTGATGTCCTTGATGTCATACCACAGTTCATCTGTTTTTGGTCATTGGTGTTCAATGTGTCAAATCTATTCTTGAGGTAGTTTCTAAATTCAGGTAAGATATATTCAAAATTATACTTTGGCTCTTTGCGTGTGTTCTAATTTTCTTCAACTTCAGCTTGAACTTGCTTATGAGCACTGATGGTCTGTTCCACAGGCGGCCCCTGGCCTTGTTCTGACTGATGGTACTGAGCTGCTCCATCATCTCTTTCCACAGATGTAGTTGATTTTGTTCTTGTGTATTGCATCCAGCAAAGTCCACATGCATAATCTCTGTGGTTTGAAAAATATACTTACAATGAATAAGTCATTAATCTTGCGAAATTCTATCATGGTGTCTCTGGCATCATTTACAAAATCCAAGGCTGTATTTTCCAACTACCAATCCTCCTTTTTTTTTCCAACTTTCATATTCTAATCACCAGTAATTATCAGTGCTTCTTGATTGCATGTTTGATCAATTTCAGACTATGGTTTCTTCATCTTTGGCATTAGTGGTTGTGTAAATTTGAATAATAGCCATACTAACTGGTCTTCGTTGTATGATATGGATGTTAGCCTATCACTGACAGCATTGCACTTCTGGATAGATATTGAAATGTTCTTTTTGACAATGAATGCAACACCAATTCCTCTTTAATTTGTCATTCCCAGCCTAGTACATCATATGATTGTCAGATTGAGAATGGCCAAAATGAGTCCATTTCAGCTCACTAATGCCTAGGATATCGATCTTGAAGCATTCAATTTCATTTTTGGTGACTTCCAATTTTCCTAGATTCATACTTTGTACATTCCATGTTTAGATTATTAGTAGATGTTTACTGCTGTTTCTTGCCATTTTGAGTCATGCCACATCAACAAATGAAGATCTAAAAGGTTTACTCCATCAAGGTCATCTCTAGTTTGTGGAGGGAGTTCTTGCCCAGTTTTGTTTTGAGGACCCTCCCACCTGAAGGCACTATATCATCTTCCAGCACTATATTAGACAGTGTTCCACTGCTATTCATAAAGTTTTCATTAGCCAATTTTTTTCTTCCTAGTCTGTCTTAGTCTGTAAGCTCTGTTGAACCTGTCCACCTTGGGTCATCCTGCTGGTATTTGAAATACTGGTGGCATAGTTTCCAGCATCACAGCAACATGTAAGCCAGCATGCAGTACAACATACTGACAGATGAGTGGTGGATTAATCTTACAACTAGTTCAGTTTTCTTCTTTTCTCTGTTTAAGCCACTAAGAATCTTAGTGACAAGTTTATTTACTTGTTTGTTTCTTTAACTGATGTGTTCTTTCCTTCGACAACAGGGATGGAGTTTGAAGGTGCCATCATTGCACTGTTCCATCTCCTGGCCACGCGCACTGACAAAGTCCGAGCCCTTCGAGAGGCCTTCTACCGGCAGAATCTCCCCAACCTCATGAACCTGATTGCCACCATCTTTGTCTTTGCAGTGGTCATCTATTTTCAGGTACGGCTAGGTCCCAAGCACAGGGAATTGTGATGGTCTGGATTTCTGAATGCCTTGATGTGTACATCCCCACTCATATCCCAGAGTTTAGTGAAATGATAGGGCGTTAAAGGAATCAAGTTCCCATGTGAGCTGGACGAATGCTCTATCAAGTCATAGGGACTTGCCAACTAAACAAAAGTAAGGCGGCTCTAGTTTCTGAAGTCATGTTCCCTTGAGTTGGCCCTATCAGAAGATAAGCAATATTTTAGTAAGTTTTTAGTTTAAGAGAAATTAAAGTTCTGTATTGATTTTAAGGATTTGAATTTTGCTCCTACTATGTGAGACAGTGAGAGGATCATCAGAATCTATGACTCACAGAGGTCTGTTAAGACTTGGGTCAGTTGAGATTGTGTGTCAGCTTGGCTGGGCCATGGTTTTGAGTGGCTTGGCAGCCACTGACGAGATTGTAATCATTTCCATGGTGGAACCTACTGTGAGCAGCTAAGTAGTTCCCTTCAGGGTGTGCCCCGCTTCCAGTACATACGGAGAAGCTTTGAGACAGGTCTCTCTACCTTTTTGGCATATCTGGACCCTGCCTTTGGCCGAGTCTTGGTCTGCCGTCTTATCTGCCAATCTTGGGATTGTGCCATTTTATCTGTCGATCTTGGATTCATCAGCTTCAGCAGGTGCATGAGTCAGAAAAAGCCTCCAGGTCCAGTGGACCTGGAATGGGAGGCAGAACTGAAGCCCAAGGTCAGGAGCCTTTACCCAGCCTGTAGAGCCTACACTTTGAATTCAAACTTCTAGCCTCCTAAACTGTAAGAAAATAAATTCCTATTTATTAGTACCATCCACTGTAGTAGGTCTGTTATAGTAGCACTAGAAAACCAAGACAAGACTCCTGAAACATCTGTGGCTCTAACAAAGGTAATTTTAGTGATCAAGTTCTGAAACCTGCCTTGTCCAAATTTGTAGACTCTGTAGAAAATTCTTTGATCTTGAAAAAGGCTATTCCTCTCCAGAGCGTCTGCCTTAAAAGTTACTAGCCAGTTGCTTTTCTGTAGTTGGATTGATCTGTGCATTTTTTGATCATCCACTTTATATTCTGATACTCATTCAAAAGGAGGAGGAGGAGGAGTTGAAAAGCCAATTCAGTGTTTGTGAAAAAGTATTTATACCAGCCCAGTGGTTTTACTGAAAACTAAATAAGCTGGTCTACTTCTTCAGCTGTGACTTTTAGTCAGGTGCCCAAAGAATAGCATGCTAAGGCTTTCAGGACTTGGCTAGTATTTATAGTAGTGTTAAGAATTTATTTTAATTCTCTGTATTATATTCTAAGCCTTCTATTTAGTGGGATTCGTAACAACTCTTTCTGTTCTCCCAAGGATTTCAGAGGGAGAGGTTGTAGTCTTAGAAAATTTCATCTTTTGTTTTATGATTGAAAGTATCTGAAAGGAATGTGCCAGGGATGTGAGGATGATACTATCATAGTCTTGTCTGGGAGCCACTATAAAGGCACAGTGAAGTACAGAAAGTACCGAAGCACCACACAAGATGACTGTTGTGAGAGTGTTGTTGTGGGTTCTTCACACTTGTCTACATTCACACATAGAGTATAATGTGACGTGGTGAGGTCATTCCTCTGTGTTTAGCTTTTGTGCATTTTTCAACTAGTCTTTCTTAGAATGTTTTGTGGTGTCCCCAAGTGCAGTAGTGGGCATGGAAAGAGCACAAGCTCCTGAGCGCTTTCAGACTAGAGGCCCTAGAGCCAGTGTTCAGGGCTCCCTCCCCTGTGGCAGGCCTGGTCATCCCCAGCTGTCTCTCTGTTTTCATAACTGTGGAATGAGGAAGGCAGTGAGGAGGTGTTTTTGTTCTGTTTGGCTTCTCAGGGCTTCCGAGTGGACCTGCCAATCAAGTCAGCTCGTTACCGAGGCCAATACAACACCTACCCAATCAAGCTCTTCTATACCTCCAATATTCCCATCATCCTGCAGTCGGCCTTGGTGTCCAACCTGTATGTGATCTCCCAGATGTTGTCAGCACGTTTCAGTGGCAACTTGCTTGTTAGTCTGCTAGGCACTTGGTCGGTAAGTGTGGCTGTTATCACATGTACTCATTTGTTAGTGCTCTGGTTAGTTGCAAATATTTCACCTACGGGTATTTTCTAATTGTGCCCTTGGCAAGTTCAGCATATTAAACTTCCTTCTACGAAACTACTCTTATTGAATAAAATTGTAATTATTTTTATCTGTTCAGAATTCTTTTGTGTCTTGTTGCTAAGGTATAAGGCAGCATTCATAGGCTTTTTGTGTGTTCTTTCTAGGACACTTCTTCCGGGGGGCCTGCGCGTGCTTATCCAGTCGGTGGCCTCTGCTACTACCTGTCCCCTCCAGAGTCTTTTGGTTCTGTGTTAGAAGACCCCGTCCATGCTGTAGTGTACATAGTGTTCATGCTGGGCTCGTGTGCATTCTTTTCCAAAACGTGGATCGAGGTTTCAGGGTCCTCTGCCAAAGATGTAAGTATAAATTAGCATTTCTAGAGAGACCTTTACATTGGGAAACAGTAGTTCCTGCCTGCTACTGGTATGAGAGGCAGTGACTTATCACTTCAATATAAAATAATAGTGTGTGAGTGTGTACAGACACTTCCCAGCTCTTCTACAGGTGTGTGTAGGGTGAGGTGTTTCACATGGATATTTTCCACCTCCTCCATGAATAGACTTTGTTTAAAGTAAATCTGCATAAATGCTAGGGAGAAATACAAAGTGAGTGTACCTAAAATCTATGGAGAAAAATTGACTGCTAACCAGAAGGCTGGTGGTTCAAACACACCAGCCACTTCTCAGAGGGAAGGTTGGGCAATCTACTTCCGTAGTGATACCGCCTCAGAAACCCAAGGAGGGGTTGCTATGAGTTGAGTCCGACTCAATGGCAAATAACAACCACCACCATAAAATGTCTTATCTTTCCTCCAACTTCAAACTGAAAGTTAAACACTGTCTTCTCCTCGGTGGGTGACATGCAGGTTGCAAAGCAGCTGAAGGAGCAGCAGATGGTAATGAGAGGCCACCGAGAAACTTCCATGGTCCATGAACTCAATCGGTGAGTAGTTGGGCCAGATTCCCTCAGCTTCCTATTCATACACATTTCACTAGCCTAGCAGCAGCTGTATTTTATTTCCTTATCCATCAAACATCCCAGTATGCCTCAGAATTTTTGGTTCATCAGACCTCATCCTTGGGTTATAGAGTAGAAAAGGCCCCTGAGTCATTAAATATTGATGAGCCTGCTAACCATTGGACATTGGACATGTAAAAATGAGCACATGGTAGCCCCTTGCTTCAAAGTGGGAGCCACAACACAGGGAGACAGAGAAAGTGGTGTGGAGATACTATCACGGGCTGCAATGGGAACCTCACTTGTGTTCGTGAGGACAGGGTTCTGAAAGGAGGCTCCTGCAGAAAGAAGGGTAAGCTGCTTCAAGGGGCTGGAGGCTTGTGAGGTCTGGACAGCCAAATAATGGAGTCTGAGTGTAGATCAGGGCCCAAAGTGGAGTTGAGGCTGGAGAGGCCAGCAGAGGCTGGGCAAGAAAAGCCTCACTACCCACTAAGGGACTGTTAGGTATTTAAAGCAAGAGGAAGGGGCAGGGAGCTCATGGTCCTCTAGGAAGGTCAGTACTAGCAAATGGAGAACAGAGGAAGAGGAGGAGACAAAAAGGCCAGCTAGGCTGCTGCAAGAATTGGAGCCAAAGGTGATAGGAACCCAGATGCAGCAGAGGCTTTAGTGGGGTGGGCAGGGGAGAAAGATTGGTGACCAGCTGGACTGTGGAGGTAGGGGTGAGAACAGGGAAAAGTCTAGAGTGACCCTTGGGATGCTTACACAGTACTCTGCTGTCTGTACCTCATTTTCACTCATGATGGAGCTGCCTCTTGGCTAGTTAGCTTGAGGTAGTAAAATTTAGGCTTTTGGGGCTACTCAGTATCTGTTGAAGCTACTCAACTCTGCTCTTAATAGAAAGCAACCATAGAATAAGTGAATGAGTGTGACTGTGACTATAAAATTCTGTTTGGAAAATCAGGTAGCTGACCAGAATTGGCTTATGAGCTGTAGTTTGCTGATCCTAAAGGAAAGAACCATGAGAAAAGCCAGTGTTGTGAATTTAAGATCATTTTCTAATGCCTAACGGTGACAGTGGGCAACTTATTTCATTTTCAGAATACTGAGCCTCCAGATTTGCAGCACTGTTCAATAGAAATACAGTGTCAGCCACATACGTTATCTTAAGTTTACTAGTTGCCATATTAAAAAAAAAATAGGTAGAATTAATTTTGATCATGTATTTTATTTAGCCCGATATATTCAGAATAATTTCAACTTAAAATGAACATAAGAAAAATCATGAGATACTTTACATTCTTTTTTCCAAACTAAATCTTCAAACTTTTGCGTGTATTTACCACATCTTGTTTCAGACTGGTCACGTTTCAGTAGTCTTTAAGAGCTCATGTGGCTGTTAACGGACAGTACAGCTCTGATCTGAATGTAGCTGGTGTGCTGATAGGTGATTTTTCTAGACAGTGGGGTGGCTGTCAGGGAGGAAGGTCTGTTGGGACAGCCAGTCGCTAGCTGGGAGTGGGTGGTGGGTGGGCAGGCTCATGTGGTGTCAGGCTGACTGCCTCATTCCCCCTCAGGTACATCCCCACAGCTGCGGCCTTTGGTGGCCTGTGCATCGGCGCCCTCTCCGTCCTGGCCGACTTCCTGGGTGCCATTGGATCTGGAACAGGAATCCTGCTTGCTGTCACAATCATCTACCAGTACTTTGAAATCTTTGTGAAGGAGCAGAGTGAAGTTGGCAGCATGGGGGCTCTTCTGTTCTGAGTCGCAGATCCCCATAGACCAAGGAGGGGAACCACTCCTGAGTTTTACCGGGAAGGGAGATAAGCAGAATCTCTCTACTCGAACTCTTCTCACAGGAGGGCACTGCTATGGCATGTGGACTTGGGTTTAATAATGTTTTTGAATTTCATATTCTTTCATTCCACTTTGTAAAGTATTAGGAATTTCCCAGTTTGAAATGTTGCTTTATATTCTGCCATTGGCAAAAAGAACTGTTGAAAGGAGGTTTTTATTCAGCTAATTGCCAGAAATGGTGAAAATGGTAAATGATTATCCTCAAGTATCCATTTAACTTTTTTAAGCCTTATTTGCACCTTCTCAGTGCTGTCTGTGGCTGCAGTGGCCTCAGCTTTTTCCCCACAAAGGAAATTCTTTGCTCTGGTTGAAAGCACAAACATTGAAATGTCTGCCTTTTGTTTTGGCATTGGGGGGAAGCTGGAAAGGTGCCATGTGTTCTCTGGTACACTTGGAGAACCGGTGTGTTGTAACCTTACTAGAATGTCAGGATTGGGAATATCTAGTTTAGGAGTGTTTCTCTATGAGATGAAATTGTTTTCTCTTTTAAAAGTATTTTTTTGTAAGACAGAGCTTCTACAAGAGAGGGGTAAAAACTCCCTTGGGATATTAATTAATTTTCCTTTATCTGCCTAGTCGGGCTCTGAAGTGGAAAAGGACAGTCTGCTTGTCTCTCTTGTGTCCATAGTTAGTCTGTGCCCTTTGATCGAGCAAGGTTGGGATTCAGAGTTGAGCCCTGCCGAGCTAAGGTGGACAATTTTATGGGAGAACCCAGAAGTGATGTCTGTCTAGATTCTCTGCTATCCCTCTGACTTCTGTGTGGTCCACGTTATTCCTCATTTGCCTAGAGAGGGGAGGCATGTTGGCAGGCATTCAGACATGAGTGACTTCATGTTCAAAAGCCACTTCTACCTTCTAGGCTGAAAATGTCCCACATGTATTTTTTGAACTTTTTCATTGTGCTTTGGACCAAAAGTGACCAGCTGCCACTACCATTCTCTCAACCTGGCCAGTCCTGTCCAGAGAAGAGGGGCAGGCTCCAATGCTTCATATGAAAGGACTCAGGATAATGTCTAGAAACAGTAGTTCTGTGACTGTCAGGTGGCCTTTTGGGAGGTGCCCCTAGTGGATGGGTGCTGTCCCTCTAGTATAGTGGCAGCAAGGATGCAGGCACTGCAGACATCTAGGACCTACAGGCTCTGAATGACTGCTGGGTGCTTGTGGAGGGGCTTGATTCTATGAAGAGAGCCCCACAGATGGCTGCAGTCATGTGGAAGAGAAGCCCCCAGCAGCAGGCACCCAGTGGCTCCAAAGCCCAGAGCCAGGGCCACGGCTCATTGCTCTTTTGGCAGCAGAGGTGACAGATTGTGCCTGTCTTGAGTCAGGGTGGGACTCCCTGGAGATTTTACTGCAGTGCTGACCTGGAAACTGAGTAAACCAGGGAAGAGAGTTGACTTACCTGAAGCCATCAGCAAGTCAGCAGTAGAACCAGGGCAGGCCCCAGTCCTGAGCCTCAGTCCAGGACTGACTTACCACCTATCACACGTGGCCTTGTCTAGACCCAGTCCTGAGCAGAGGGAGGCTTTGAGGCTCTGACTCCCTTTCCTTCCCACATGGTTTGGCACACCTCCAGCCCTAGTCCACTCAGCCCTGCCACGGAGTGGCCGGGCTTTCCACCAGCTCCTCTGCATAGGCTGCTACAGCTTCAGGTAGGCAAGGCAGCAGTGTCCAAGCTCAGCTAGTGGCACGAGCTGAAGGGTGCCAGGCCTCGTGGACAGCCTACAATCCTGCCTCAGCCTGTAACCAGTGTGCTGTTGGCACCAGGAGTTATCCACAGGGGCTCTGTGTGGCCTGAGCTCACACTTTGTGGTTGATGATCAGGGCGGATGGGGGCTGACTCTTACTTTCAGGGGACTGTCACTGTGGATGCCAAAACGGCATAACTGAGATAAATAAGTGACAAATAAAGCTAACTTTTTACAAGCTGCTTGTTCACATCTTGATTTTAAATTTTATTTTATTCCCAAAAGGTCAATGAGAGATGTGTGTCTTAGGCTGGGTTCTCTAGAGAACAAAACCAATTGAGCTTACAGAGAAAACTGTCTCAAAGAAATAGTTCCTGCAGTTGTAGAGGCTGGGAAGTTCCAAATTCGAGGGTCAGATGTCAAGCTGGAGGCATCTCTTAAGCCACACAGCTGCAGGGGCTGATGAATCCAAGACTGGTAGACAATATTGTTATTGGCTTTAGAAGCTGACAAATCCAATCTGTGGGTAAAATGGCAGATTTTTGGCTCACAGGCTATGAAGGCAACAATCCCAAGATTAGCAGGCAGTACAGCAGACCACTGGTTCAAGTCCAGAAACTGGAGATGAGCTGGGTGTAGGAACCAGATCCAGCAGAAAAGCCATATAGATCTTTGCCCAGACATCCATATATATATATATATATTGGGAACAGGCCACACCCTTGAGGAAACACTTTCATTTGATTGTTTCTCATAGCAGAGGTCATCATGGAGGTGGTTATATCAGATCTCATCACGGGATGACTACATAACTGCTAAACCACAGAGAATCATGGCCCAGCCAAGTTGACATACAACTATCACAGCATGAGTACACTTACAGGTGCATAAGGTTTGGTTGGATCCTGGTTATGCATAGAGTACAGCTTGTTTTGCTGTCCCTGGTGGGAGAGGGCCACACTCTGCAGGAGTCTGTGTTCCTTGGTGTTAGTTTCTCAGGGTTGCTGGGTGGCTTATAAGAACAGAAATTGTGTCTCATCATTCTGGAGGTTGGGAGTTGAGAGACTAAGGTATTAGCCATGTTGATTCTTTCTTAAATCTCTGAGGGAGAAGCTATTCCAAGCTTCTCTTCTAGCAAACCTTGGCATTTGACTTGGAGCTGCATCTGCCTCCATTGTCACATGGCCATCCTTCCTCTGTTTCCCTGTCTCATGTGTCTCTCAGGAGGACACCAGTCATACAGGATCAGGACCCACTCTACTCCAGTATGAGCTCATGTTAACCCAACTGATAACATCTTAAAAGACCCCGTTTCTAAGCAGAATCACAGTCACAATTACAGGGGTTAGGATCTTCAACATTTTTTGGAGTGACAACAATCCATACCACTCAGGGAAACTTGCTCTTATTTCCAGCCTCATGCTTCAGTGCAGATACAGTCATTGAAATGTTAACATGATCTTGAGGTTGGCCCCAAACCAAATTTGGTAGCTAAGTCAAGAGGGTATCTACTCTTAGATACACTCCTTGGAGAGAACAATCATGGGAGAAAGAAGGGCTGCTTATGCACTGGAGACAGCTCAGGGGGCAGGAGGGCATGCAAGGATGGACACAGGGAAGAGGTAACTATCAGGAGGAAGTGGGAGGGGAGCTGTTGCATTGTGGTAAATTGTGGTCAGTGTCATGAGACTGTATGTGAACTGCCGTATGGAAAGTGAATTTGCTCTGTAAATCTTCACCCAAATCACAAATAAATAAATAAATAAGAGGGCATCTACTCAGCCCTAGACTGCAGCATAAAATGGAGAGGAGTAGCAAGCATGACGGTTGCCCCCCAGAATGTACCATACTAACAATTCTCAATTGTTTACAGCTGGTATTGATGCTAGATGTTAGCAGAGAGGAAAACATTGCCCATCTGGGTTTCAAAGCTGGTGTATTATCGTGGACAAGGCCTCCCCCAGGCCGTTTACCATCACCACCACTCCCCCAGACTGTGCCTCCCCAGTAACAGGAACCAGCCCTTCACCTCAAGAACCCACTGGGAATTAGGCTGGGAAAGATACCACATCCTAGCTGGGCCCCAGCCTCTTCATTTCCATGTACAGTCTTAAGAGCACTTCTTAGAGATTATGATTTTTGAGATGACAGCAGTTCAGGGCAATGTGCCCCTCTGGGACCAGCCTAGCCCTGCAGAGCCACATAAGTGCAAATACGCAGCCAGGTCACACCACCAATAGCAGAGCCAGTAAACAAAGCCCAAGGCTTTTCCTACCCAGAGCTTCCATTTGGCTGCTGGGGGGCCTAGTTGGGGCAAGGAATGAGGGGCTCAGAGAAATGTCCTAACCTTGGGAACTTCCTCATAGTATCATTGGCTGAGTCCCTCCTGTAAGGGAGCCTGCCCTTGGTTCATGGAGCAGCCCCAGCCTCAACTGTCACCCTCTGATCCCTCTACTGCTGACACCCCTGCCCCACACCCAGCCCCCTAGGAAGGACGTTCACATGCAGTGGGGAAGAGAAGTAAGCCTCTCATCCCAGTCTGGAGGGATCGGACCCTGCTCTGGCATGGTATGGAGACTGCCCAAGTGTCAGCAAAAGCCTCAGCCTGAACTCCAACCCCACCAAGGAGAGTCCCAGAGGTCCCCACCTCATCTCCTTACCCTACATCACTCACTCCTTTCCATTTAACAAGCATTGAGCACCCACTGTGTGCCAGACTGTGTGGTAAGGTGACAGAAAGTTCACACCCAGCAGCAAGGGATAACCAGGGTCCACTAAGCTCTGAGCCTCTCCCAAGTGTTCCCTCAATCCGTTTGCCAGACAAACTCCTATTCATCTTCCAAAGCCCAGCTCAATAAGGCTAGAAACATCTATGTGCCCGTTAGAAGGGGACTGGTAAATAAATTTCAGCACCTCCCTCCTATAGAAAGGAACTAGGAGGACATTATGTACTGACTTAGAAGGATCTCCAAGATAAGCTGTTGATGGGGAAAAAAAAGGCAAGAAGCAAAAACAGTGTAGATAGTCTGCTACTATCTGTGTTTGGGGAAAAAAAAAAAAAATAAATAGAAAAAAAAAAAAAAACTGACAATTTGCATCTCCCTCTCAAGATTCCCTGCTGAGGAAGTCCACCAGAGGACAGCACACAGAGATATACAGGCACACACACACCCACCCACAATCCCCCCC